CCTGACCTCAGGTGATCCACCCACCTTGGCCTCCCAAAGTGCTAGGATTACAGGCATGAGCCACCACGCCCAGCCCTAAAATTATAAATTAAATTTGTGTCATGGATGGTGCAGATTTAACTGAGAGAGTGCTAGAAAACACCTCTTGTGGATATGATGTTTAAAATGAGATCTGAAGGATAATGAGGCAGCTTGGTGATGGTGGTGGTGGTGAGGGGCAGTGGGGCGACGTAAAGGTAGAGGGATCAGGGTATTCTAGGCCAAGGGAGCAGTGAGTGTAAAGGTTTTCAGATAGGGTTGAGTCTAGCACTCTGAAGAAGAGAGAAAAGGTCAGTATGTTTGAGGCATAGTGAATGAAGTAGGGAGTAGGAAAGATGTGCTTGGGGAGACAGGCAGGGTCTAGATCATGCAGGGCCTTGCATGTGAACCTGAGGAGTTTTGATTTTACTCAAAGAATAATGGAGTACCTTTTTGTTTGTTTGTTTGGTTGGATTTTTTTTTGAGACAGAGTCTCACTGTTGTTGGCCAGGCTGGAGTGCAGGGGCACATCTCGGCTCACTGCAACCTCTGCCTCCCAGGTTCATGCATTTCTCCTGCCTCAGCTTGCCAAGTAGCTGGGACTACAGGCACGCACCACAATGCCCAGCTAATTTTGTATTTTTAGCAGAGACAGGGTTTCACCATGTTGGTTAGGCTGGTCTGGAACAATAGAGTACCTTAAAGCATAGTAATAAACCGAAATTATGTAGTTTCTGCCTCAAGACATATCCATACTTAGTGCAGTATGGTGCCAACTCTTAATCTTAGTTTTAAACAGGGATTTCATATAAAAATCTAGATTTCCAGCTTCTCTTTTAAAAAGCTGAAGATCTCACCATATCTTTTTTTTTTTTTTTTTTTTTGAGACGGAGTTTCGCTCTTGTTACCCAGGCTGGAGTGCAATGGCACGATCTTGGCTCACCGCAACCTCTGCCTCCTGGGTTCAGGCAATTCTCCTGCCTCAGCCTCCTGAGAAGCTGGGATTACAGGCACACGCCACCATGCCCAGCTGATTTTTTTGTATTTTTAGTAGAGACGGGGTTTCACCATGTCGACCAGGATGGTCTCGAACTCTCGACTTCGTGATCCACCCGCCTCGGCCTCCCAAAGTGCTGGGATTACAGGCTTGAGCCACCGCGCCCGGCGATCTCACCATATCTTACTCCAGTTGTTTGGTGTAAGTTGGGTATAATCCCATGTTGGGGTTTTGCCAGGCAAGTGCAAAAGAGGCAGAGGAAGATGGGAGTTGAGAATACTTTCAAGGGAGTGATTGAAAGGATAAACTATTGAGTCTCAGCTGGATAATACGGCAACTGAATTCTAGAGGTGGGTGATGAATAGATAATGGTGGTTCAGTGGACTGGCATCTCAATTAACTCAAAGAATTATTTATAACGGATATTTTTACAAGTGAGCCAAAAGAACTGAAAGTTGTCACAGGAGAATGAGGTGTTAGCACTGTGATTATGGATGTGGTAATTTCTGGTGAAGAAAAGTTCCCAGGTGTAACTATAGAAGTGGATGGCTGAAGTGGAGTGGAAGAAAAGGTTATTGGGCATGACAGCAAACAACTAAGAGATCAGAATGATGAGAGGAATGGAGATGAAGTTAAGTCTTTAAGTCAGATGTAAAATCTTCAGTGAATAAGAGGGAGTTATGGGAAATCACAAGATCATAGTCCCAATCACTCCTGAAATCCTAGAGAGGATGAAAAAGAGGGAATAGTTTGAGGAGCAAGGAAATTATGACCTCATCTGATCCTAAGGTATATCATGTAAGAAAAATAGAATGGTTGACTTTGAAATTGGGAATCAAGGCTAGAAACTGGGGTGAGATTCTCATGATGAAATATTCAGCTTTTTTCTTTTTCGTTGGTCTCTGGGAACACTTACATTAGTATCCATTTTTTTTAAACGATAATTCTACCTCATTAATTTCAAATTTTCTGTAAGAGTCTATTACATATTTGTAAGAGTCTATTACAGATATGTTCATGGTATTGTAGGAAATTAAGGGATGGGGCAGTGAATCTAAGTGTGGCTTTTTATGTATATCTCTCTGTTAAGATCATGTAATCATCTTATTCAGTGAATTCTCGAGGTTACCAGCAGGAAAAGGAACAGTGTTCCTTGGTGGAGCTAACTCAGGAGCATAAGTCTTTGATTAATCTGCAAAAATCCTGGGACAGGAACTACACTTCTCACATCAGTGCTTACTGAGGTGATACTGAAACATTATTGAAATTTAGAGGGCTGGGCACGGTGGCTCACACCTGTAATTACAGCACTTTGGGAGGCCGAGGTGGGCAGATCACCTGAGGTTAGGAGTTCAAGACCAGCTTGGCCAACATGGTGAAACCCCATCTCTACTAAAAATAAAAAAAATTAGCTGGGCATGGTGGTGGGTGCCTGTAATCCCAGCTACTCAGGAGGCTGAGGCAGGAGAATCACTTGAACCTCAGAGGCAGAGGTTGCAGTGAGCCAAGATCACACCATTGCACTCCAGCCTGGGCAACAAGAGTAAAACTCCATCAAAACAAGAAAGAAAGAAAAAGAGAGAGAGAGAGAAAGAAAAGAAAGAAAGAAAAAAAAAGAAAAAAGGATAAAAAAGAAAAAAGGCTGGGTGCAGTGGCTCACGCCTGTAATCCCAGCACTTTGGGAGGTCACGGTGGATGCATCACGATGTCAGGAGATTGAGACCATCCTGGCTAACAAGGTGAAAACCCGTCTCTACTAAAAATACAAAAAATTAGCTGGGTGTGGTGGTGGGTTCCTGGAGTCCCAGCTACTCAGAAGGCTGAGGCAGGAGAATCGCTTGAGCCAGGGAAGCAGAGGTTGCAGTGAGCTGAGATCACACCACTGTACTCCAGCTTGGGTAACAGAGCGAGACTACATCTAAAAAACAAAACAAAACAAAACAAAAAGAAAAAAACCCCACTAAATAATATACAAGAAACTAGTAACAGTGACTACCCTTGGCAGAGGGATTACAGGTAGGAAAGGGCAAGAGGTTTCACAGTCTGCCAGTTCTATCTAATAAGTATTTTTCAGTGATAGAAGTGTCTTGTAGCTTCATGTGGCTATTGCCTGCTTGAAATGTGGCTACTGAAACCAAGGAACTGAATTTTAAACTTTACTAATTTTAATTAATTTAGTCACATATGGCTAGTGGCTACCATATTGGACAGTGCAATTATACTCTTGGAGTTTTTTATACTTTATGCAAACATTACCTTTAAAAGTCAAAAGAGACTATGTTGTATTCCTAACAATACTTATGAGTAGTGGCTTCAAGGAGTGTATTGTCTCCATATTATAGCCAATAGAAAGTAAATGACAATCGTTAACACTTGGATCTTGCTTGCTATGTGCCAGGTATTGCTCCAGGTGCTTTTCAGACATTAATTCCCTTCATCCTCCCAGCAACCTTATGAGGTAGGCACTATTATTAATCCCAGTTTTACGGAGGAAGTATGCACGGAATGATTAAGGCAGTAGCTAAGGTCACCTCGCCAAGAACTGATAAACTAGGATGTTGTGCAGGCATTCATCTCAACCAGTTGACTGTGCACTTAACTACAACACTGTCTCTTACACAGGCAATTGACCAAATCACAAAAATATCTACGTTTCCATCAAGGGTGGAACACAAATGATACTGGGGAAAATCCAACTACAAAGATACACTATCTTTAATCACTATTTAAAATAAAAAAATTTGTGTGTAGATTTAAAATAAATGTAGTTAATAAGTGAAAAAAGTGTGGATTTCTTTATGGGCAATCATTTGCCTAACACTACTCCTTTTGGTCTTCCAGTGTCCCATATCTCTTATCTCCTATCTGTTACCGTTCTTATTGTCGTAGTTGAAGACAGGTCAGTCTTTTCTCCTTACTTTCCATCCCAAAGTCTTTCTTAATACTTCAGATGTCAGTTACCTGGGCATCTCTAAGTCCTTTAAATTTCTTTCTTTCTTTTCTTTTTTTGAGATGGAGTTTGGCTCTTATTGCCTAGGCTGCAGTGCAATTGAGGGATCTCAGCTCACCGCAACCTCCGCCTCCCAGGTTCAAGTGATTCTCTTGCCTCAGCCTACAGAGTAGCTGGGATTACAGCCATGTGCCACCACGCTCGGCTAATTTTGTGTTTCTAGTAGAGACAGGGGTTTCTCCACGTTAGTCAGGCTGGTCTTGAACTCCCGACCTCAGGTGATCTGCCTACCTCAGCCTCCCAAAGTGCTGGGACTACAGGCATGAGCCACCACACCCGGCCTAATATATATTTTTATTACACAAAGGTTACCATATTATTTGCCCTGCCCTGTATCTAATTTTTGTTTTATTTAAAATATATTAACTATTGTTTTCTAGCAGCTCAAAGATTTAGAGCATGTGATATTAGGCTTTCAGAGCAGCTCTTAAGACATTAAAGCCCTGGGCGCGGTGGCTCACGCCTGTAATCCCAGCACTTTGGGAGGCCGAGGTGGGCGGATCACGAGGTCAGGAGTTTGAGACCAGTCTGGCCAAGATAGTGAAACCCCGTCTCAAAACAAAACAAAACAAAACAAAACAAACAAAACAAACAACTTTAAAGCACAATTTGAATATAAGAAATATGCATAGGTTTCAAGGACAGGCCGTATTTGGTTAAAAAAAAATGCGTATGGTTACCTTTGGGAGCAGGTGGAGAGAATGAATTACTTCAGTTTCCTTCCTTATGTGGCACCTGCGGAAACCACACTGCGGCTGGGTGAATTGAAGTCAGCAATTAATCGATTATCACCCTCTAGCTTGGTCAGGAATGCTTCAGCCCCCGCAGTGCCGCTCCGGGATCGCCTGCAAGGTGGAAACGCCCTGCATAAAAGCGGTTGAGGCACTGCTAAGGCGCCTGATATCTGGGCTGGGAGGTCCGCCCACTGGCGACTGCAGGTCGCTGGGCCACCCCCGGTCCGCAGGGAAGGGAACCCCACCGCCTTTCCGAGGTGCGGGGCGCCCCCTGCTGCCAGCCGGAGGAGCTCAGAGCCCGCTCGCAGGAGGCCGGGAACATGGCGGGGCAGTCCAGGAACATGGCGAGGCAGCCCGCGGCCTCTGGCTCGCCGTCGCCGGACAGGGACGGAACGGAGCCCAACGTCGTGGCTCGGATCTCACAGTGGGCGGACGACCACCTGCGCCTAGTTCGGGTACCGCAGCCACGCGGTCTGGGCGGGTGGTGGGCGCAGGGCGACACAGAGCGACCCTGAGAAGAACGTGAGGCCTCAGGCGGGGATCCCGCTGCGGCCGAGGAGCTGCAGAGAACTGTGGGGGAGTGAGCTCGAGAGGGCGGCACCGCGAGTGTAGTGTGCGGGGCTGCAGAGGGAGGGCCGGGGGCGGGCCAGGGGGCCAGTTCGGCCTCATTATTGCAAGGACTGTGCTGGGTCCTTGCTGGGCTGTGGGGGGCACCTAAAAGGGCGAGACGCAGCCCAGCTCGGGGATGCCACCTGGTCCTGTAGAGCACTTGGGGAAGGCTCAGAGAGGAGACAGAGGAAGAGTAGGGAAGTCCTGTACACCTTGGGAGAGAACATTTCTAATTTTTATTTTTAATTTTATTTTTTAGGGATGGTGTATTCCTTTCTGGCCCAAGCTGTAGTGCAGTGGTGCGATCATAGCTCATAGCTGCCTCCACCTCCTGGGCTGAAGAGATCCTCCTACTTCAGCCTCCCAAGTAGTTGGAACCACAGGTGTGCACTACCACACCAACTAATTTCTTTTAAAGTTAGAGACGGGGGTCTTGCTGTGTTGTCCAGGCTGGTCTCCAACTCCTGGCCTCAAGTGATCTCCCACCTCAACCTCCTGAATAGATTTCTTTTTTTGAGACAGGGTCTCACTGTCATGTTTGGAGTGCAGTGGCACCATCATGTCTCATTGCAGCCTGCACTTTTGGGCTAAAGCAATCCTTCCACCTCAGCCTGCTGAGTAGCTTGTCACCACACCAGGCTAATTGTTTTTTATTTGTGAGGCAGGGTCTCCCTGTGTTTCCCAGGCTGGCCTTGAACTCCTGGCCTCAAGGGATCTGCTGGCCTCCACCTCCCAAAGCACTGGGATTATAGGCATCAGACCGTGGTGCCCTGCCTTCTTTTTTCTTTCTTTTTCTTTTCTTTTCTTTTCTTGTGTGTGTGTGTGTGCGCGTGTGTGTGTGAAGCACTAAGCCTCTGGAGTTGAAGCAAGAGAGGGACATGATGTTAGGCCACCAGACAAGAGAGGGTTGTGGCTAAGACACAGAATTGTGGTGATGTGAATTGTTTGGGTGTGAGGTACAAAGAAAGAAGTCCAAGGAAGCTGGTAATAGTTGCTGATAAGGGGCTGGAGTAAATGATTTGTTGGGGAAAATCTAGAGAACTTTTTGGACATGTATATGGAGATGTGTGAACCTGAAGATGGTTATTAAGACTTCTAAGCAAAACTGTAGATGCTGTTCTTGGCAACTGGACGTGGAATCTGGTGTTGAAGGGCGATCAAAACCTGACATAGAACATTGGGAATGACCTGCTTAAACCTTAAGTAGGATGAAGCTGTGGGCTTGAATAACAACTCAGAGCAAGTGAGAAGAGCAACTGAAGGAGCTCTAGAATTTGGGGGAGTATAACATGGAGAATCTGGGGAGTGAAGAGGAGGTCAGCAAGACTAACAAGAAGCAGACAGTGAGGTAGTAAGAAAGTCAGGACAGCCAGGTGTTCTAGAAGTCAAGTGAAGAAAATGTTTTCAGAAGGAATCATTAACTGTAAAAAAAAAAACCTCTGCTGAAGACCAGGTGTGGTGGCTCATGCCTATAATTCCAGTACTTTGGGACGCTGAGGCGGGCAGATCATGAGGTCAGGAAATCGAAACTATACTGGCCAACATGGTGAAACCCTCTCTACTAAAAATACTAAAATTAGCCGGGTGTGGTTGCCTGTGCCTGTAATCCCAGCTACTTGGGAGGCTGAGGCAGGAGAATTGCTTTAACCAGGGAGTCGGAGTTTGTAGTGAGCCAAGATCACACCATTGCACTCCAGCCAGAGTGAGATTTCGTCTCAATTAAAAAAAAAAAAAAAAAAATTTTGCTGAAGGCCAGGCATGTTCGCTTATGCCTGTAGTCCCAGCACATTGGGAGGCTGAGGCAGGTGGATCGCAAGGTCAGAAGTTCAAGAGCAGCCTGACCAACATGGTAAAACCCTGTCTCTACCAAAAATACAAAAATTAGCCAGGCATGGTGGCACACCCCTGTAATCCCAGCTACTCAGGAGGTGGGGCAGGAGAATTGCCTGAACCCGGGAGGGTACCCCATCCTGGGCAATAGATCGAGACTCTGTCTAAAAAAAAAAATTCTGCTGAAAAGTTGAGTAAGACAAGCTTTGCAAATGCTCTGGAGCCAAGCAGCACAAGGTCTAAGGCCATGCAGTTTTAACTAACCATTGTAGCCCCAGTTCTTAGAGTAATGCCTGCCACTTAGTAAGTGCTATGTAAATATTTGCAGCATCATTGAATAGTAAATAATATATGTGTTAATCGATGAAAACTCACGTCTTTCAGTTAAGCATAATAGATGCATGGGTTATTTCAAATTATAAAGTGACTTCATAAGGATTATGGGAGGAAGTTGTGTAAATTAGAACATGATTATAATATTACAAATAATCCAATAACATAATCCAGAGTATTTACCTTTGTGCATATTTTCAGTCTCATTTCTTTTTTCTTTTGAGACAGAGTCTCACTCTGTTGCCCAGGCTGGAGTGCAGTGACACAGTCTGGGCTCATTGCAACCTCCACCTCCTGGGTTCAAGTAAATCTCGTGCCTCAGCCTCCTGAGTGGCTGGAATTACAGGTGTGTATTGCCACGGCTGGCTAGTTTTTTTGTATTTTTAGTAGAGACAGGGTTTCACCATGTTGGCAGGGCTGGTCTCAAACTCCTGGCCTCAAGTGACCCACCCGCCTTGGCCTCTCCAGGTGCTGGCATTATAGGCTACAGGCATGAGATATCGTGCCCGGCCTCAATCTCATTTTATGTACCTACTTGTATTGATTGAAGCAAAGTGTGTTAGATTATCACTTTTTTTGAGAGTTGTAGGATTCTTAATTTTTCATTAAACTCCTTTAGACCTACCCCAGTTTAAATGAAACACTTAAAAAACATCACTGAGCTGGGCACGGTGTCTCAAGCCTGTAATCCCAGCACTTTGGGAGGCAGAGGCGGGTGGATCACGAGGTCAAGAGATCGAGACCATCCTGGTCAACATAGTGAAACCCCGTCTCTACTAAAAAAAAACAAACACAAAAAATTAGCTGGGCATGGTGGCGCGTGCCTGTAATGCCAGCTACTCAGGAGGCTGAGGCAGGAGAATTGCCTGAACCCAGGAGGCGGAGGTTGCGGTGAGCCGAGATCGCGCCATTGCACTCCAGCCTGGGTAACAAGAGCGAAACTCTATCTCAAAAAAAAAAAAAAAAAAAAAAAAAAAAAAAAAAAAAAAAATCACTGAGTATTTCTCAGCCATTTACCCACATTTGCCAAGTTTCTGTATTTTAAGGTTTTAGTATAAGATTTTCTACCAAATACTTAAATTCCCACCATGGATGCAAGGTTATACTAATTGCTATGGCTACTGTACAAGAAGTACTAGACCAGTTCATACATTTATGGAACTGATAGTTAAATAATACAATTAGTGGAGAACAGTCCAATACTATATACATGTATGTATGTGTGTATGGGGTGGGTGAGTGTATATATGTATGTGTATATGTTTAGACACACACACACACACACACACACACACACACACACACTTCTCTGTGTGCCAGATGGTTTGGGAAAGAATTTGAGTATTGTAAAAGTTAAAAGAAGGAAAGATTAATGAATGAATAGGCAGTTTTTTGAAGAAGTGGGCCTTTATTTGAAGGACGTACATTGTTTGTACAATTAGACATAGAGAGGACAGTCTTATATTTTTCCACCTTCTAATTAGTACTTTCACTATTGTGACTAATAATTAATGAGAGTTAACCCTTAAATCTCTTTCTGTAGAACATCAGCACTGGAATGGCCATAGCTGGAATAATATTACTTCTAAGAAGCATTCGACTGGTAAGTTAAAAAATGAAAAAGACATTACAATAAGCAGCAAGTAGTTAGTTTATTCACATTTCAGATAATTTTTATCTCAAGCAGTATATCATATTGTTATGCATATTGGTAGCTTTTAAATAGTATTTTAGAACAATGAACATATTTTAAGGTCTTGGTTTAAAAGTAACACATCCACAGGATTTTACAGAAAGTAATTGCATGGTCTATATTTCCATAATCACATTTTTTCATTCTTTTTTTTTTTTTTGAGATGGAGTTTCGCTCTTGTTACCCAGGCTGGAGTGCAATGGCGTGATCTCGGCTCACCGCAACCTCCGCCTCCTGGGCTCAGGCAGTTCTCCTGCCTCAGCCTCCTAAGTAGCTGGGATTACAGGCACGCACCACCACGCCCAGCTAGTTTTTTGTATTTTTTTTTTTAGTAGAGACGGGGTTTCACCATGTTGACCAGGATGGTCTCGATCTCTCGACCTCGTGATCCACCCGCCTCGGCCTCCCAAAGTGCTGGGATTACAGGCTTGAGCCACCACGCCCGGCCACATTTTTTCATTCTTAAAAAGGAATCTGAAAAGGATTTACTTTGCTAGAATGTTATAATCACTAAATTTGCATTTCAAACACTGCAGAATATCTTAAAAGTGTTTTTTTGTGGTACTTTTTATTTAGACCACAGTTGAATATGTCTCTTAGCACTCAATAATTTATGCTTCCAGTTAGCACATTTTCTTAGCTCTTTCACTAATGTTTTATTAGTAGCATAATAGACATATTTTTTTTCTATGCCCATTAAACAATAACTCCAGGGGCCGGTGCGGTGGCTCACGCCTGTAATGCCAGCACTTTGGGAGGCCAAGGCACGTGGATCACCTGAGGTCAGGAGTTCGAGACCAGCCTGGCCAACATGTTGAAACCCTGTCTTTACCAAAAATACAAAAAATAAACCAGGTGTGGTGGCAGGTGCCTGCTACTTGAGAGGCTGAGGCAGGAGAATTGCTTGAACCTGGGAGGTGGAGGTTGCAGTGAGCTGAGACTGTGTCACAGCACTACAGCCTGGGCAACAAGAATGAAACTCCATCTCAAAAAACGAAACAAACAAAAACCAGTAACTCCAGCTTCCCTTTCCCCTCATCCCCTGGCAACCATCATTCCATTTTTCATCTCTATGATTTTGACCGCTCTAAGTACCTCATATAAGTAGCATCATACTGTATTTGTCTTTTTGTGACTGGCTTTTTTCACTTAGCCTGATATTACTAAGATTCATCCGTGTTGTAGCATATATCATGATTTTTGTCCTTTTTAAGACTGACAATATTCCATTGTAAGTGTATATCACATTTTGCTTCTCTGTTGATCTGTTCATGGACACTTGGGTTCCTTCCATGTTTTAGCTGTTGTGAATAATGCTGCTATGAACATGCCTATACAAATAAATCTTTGAGACCCTGCTTTCAGTTATTTTAGGCATATACCCAGAAGTGGATTACACAGAAATTGTATTTTTAATTTTTTTTTTTTTTTAGACGGAGTCTCACTCCGTCGCCCAGGCAGGAGTGAAGTAGTGTGATTTCAGCTCACTGCGACCTCCACCTCCCAGGTTCAAGTGATTCTCCTTCCTCAGCCTCCTGAGTAGCTGGGATTACAGGTGCCTGCCACCACACCTGGCTAATTGTTTTGTATTTTTAGTAGATACAGGATTTCACTGTGTTGGCCAGGCTGGTCTTGAACTCTTGACCTTATGATCCACCTGCCTTGGCCTCCCAAAGTGCTGGGATAACAGGCGTGAGACCCTGTGCCAGGCCTATTTCAAATTTTTTTAGTAACTGCCATACTGTTTTTTGTAGTGGTTATTTTACATTAGCACTAACAATGCATAAGAGTTTGTTTCACCAGATTCTTACCAACAATTATTATTTTCTGTTTTTTGTTAGTAGCCATCTTAATGGGTTTGAGGTAGTATCTCATTGTGGTTTTGATTTACATTCCTTTAATGATTAGTGATGTTGAGCATCTTTTCATATGCTTATTGGCCTTTCATATGTGTTTTTTTGATAAATGTCTATTTAGCTCTTTTGCCCCTTTTTGAATGGGTTGTTTGGTTTTTTGTTGTTGAATTTTAGGAGTTCTCTATATTCTGAATCCCTAATTAGATAATTGATTTGCAAATGTTTTCTCCCATCCATTCTGTATGTTGCCTTTTGTTTTTGTTTTTGTTTTTGTTTTAGAGACAAGGTCTCACTCTGTTGCCCAGGCTAGAGTGCACTGGTACGATCATGACTCACTGCAGCCTCAACCTCTTTGCCTCAAGTGATCCTCCTGTCTCAGCTTCCTGAGTAGCTGGGACTAAAGGCATCTGCTACCCTGCCTGGCTAATTTTTTATTTTTCTGTAGCGATGGGGGGTCTCGCTATGCTGCCCAGGCTGGTCTTGAACGCGTGTCTTCAAACAATTCTTCCATCTCAGCCTTCCAAAGTGCTGGGATTACAGACATGAGCCACTGTGGCCTGTCTGTGTGTTTGCTTTTTCTAACTCTGTTGATAGTGCTCATTGATGTGCAAGTTTTTGATTCTTATGAAGTCCAATTTGTCTATTTTTTTCCTTTTAATTTTTGTGGGTACATACTAGGTGTATACATTTATGAGATACATGAGATATTTTGATTCAGGCATACAGTGCATAATAATCACATCAACGTAATAGGGTATCCATCACCTTAAACATTTATTATTTTTCCTGTTATAAACAATCCAATTATGTTCTTTTAGCTATTTAAAAATGTATAATAAATAATTGTTGACAGTAGTCACCTTATTGTGCTACCAAATATTAATCTTATTCATTCTATTTCATTATATTTTCGTACTCATTAACCAACCCCACTTCTTTTTTTTTTTGAGACGGAGTTTCACTCTTGTTACCCAGGCTGGAGTGCAATGGTGTGATCTCAGCTCACCGCAACCTCCACCTTCTGGGTTCAGGCAATTCTCCTGCCTCAGCCTCCTGAGTTGCTGGGATCACAGGCACGCACCACCATGCCCAGCTAAGTTTTTGTATTTTTAGTAGAGACGGGGTTTCACCATGTTGACCAGGATGGTCTCGATCTCTTGACCTCGTGATCCACCCGCCTTGGCCTCCCAAAGTGCTAGGATTACAGGCTTGAGCCACCACGCCCGGCCCCAACCCCACTTCTTGCTTATCCCCAGCTACCCTTCCCAGGTTCTGGCAACCAATATTCTACTCTCTGTCTCCATGAATTCAATTTTTGAATTTTTTAGTTCCCTTAAATAAGTGACAACATGCAAAGTTTTTTCTTTCTTGGGTTACTTAACATAATGACCTCCAGTTCCACCCATGGTGTTGCAAATAACAGTTCTATTTAAGGCTGAATAGTATTCCACTGTGTACATGTACTGTAATTTCTTTTTTGAGACAAGGTCTCACTCTGTCACCCAGGTTGAGTGCAGTGGTGTGATCATGGCTCACTGCAGCCTCGATCTCCCGGGCTCAAGTGATCATCCCATGTCAGCCTCCTGAGTAGCTGGTACCACAGGTGTGAGCTGCCATGTCCAGCTAATTTTTGTACTTTTTGGAGAGACAGGGTTTTTTCATGTTACCCAGGTTGATCGCCAGCTCCTGGGCTCAAGTGATCTGCCTGGCTTGGCCTCCCAAAGTGCTTGGATTACAGACATGATCCACTGCACCCGACCCATATTTTCTTTATCCATTCATCTGTTGATGGACACGTAGGTTTCTTCCAAATCGCAGCTATTGTGTATAGTGCTGCAATAAGCACAGTATTAATGATATTTCTTTGATATACTGATTTCCCTTCTTTTGGTATATATCTAACAGTGGGATTGCTGGATCATATGGTACTTCTATTTTTAGTTTTTTTTCTTGTTGTTGTTGTTGTTGTTTTTTTAGATGGAGTCTCACTGTGTCCCCTAGGCTGGAGTGCAGTGTCACCATCTTGCCTTACTGCAGCCTCTGCCCAGGTTCGAGCGGTTCTCCTGCCTCAGCCTCCTGAATAGCTGGGATCACACTACCACACCCAGCTAATTTTTGTATTTTTTTATTTTTATTTTTAATTTTATTTATTTATTTATTTATTTGTTTGTTTTTTTGTTTTTTTGTGTTTTTGTTTTTTCTTTTTTTGAGGCGGAGTTTCGCTCTTGTTACCCAGGCCGGAGTGCAATGGCGCAACCTCGGCTCACCGCAGCCTCCGCCTCCTGGGTTCAAGCAATTCTCCTGCCTCAGCCTCCTGAGTAGCTGGGATTACAGGCATGCGCCGCCATGCCCAGCTAATTTTTAGTATTTTTAGTAGAGATGAGGTTTCACCATGTTGACCAGGATGGTCTCGATCTCTTGACCTCGTGATCCACCCAGCTCGGCCTCCCAAAGTGCTGGGATTACAGGCTTGAGCCACTGTGCCCGGCTATTTCTTTTATTTTTGAGACAGAGTTTCACTCTTGTTACCCAGGCTGGAGTGCGATGGCGCAATCTCGGCTCACCGCAACCTCCGCCTCCTGGGTTCAGGTAATTCTCCTGCCTCAGCCTCCTCAGTAGCTGGGATTACAGGCACGTACCACCATGCCCAGCTAATTTTTTGTATTTTTAGTAGAGACGGGGTTTCACCATGTTGACCAGGATGGTCTCGATCTCTCGACCTCATGATCCACCTGCCTCGGCCTCCCAAAGTGCTGGGATTACAGGCTTGAGCCACCGCGCCCGGCTTTGATTCAAGAAATTTTTAAATTTCTTTTTTAATTTCTTTATTGACTCATTGGTCATTCAGGAACACATTGTTTAATTTCCATGTGTTTGTATAATTTCCAAGATTCCTCTTGTTATTGATTTCTAGCTGTATTCTGTTGTAGTCAGAGAAGGTATTTGATATAATTTTGAAATTTTTAAGACTTGTTTTGTGACCTAACATATGGTCTATCCTTGAGAATGATTCATGTACTGAGGATAAGAATGTATATTCTGCAGCCATTGGATGAAATTTTCTATGAATATCCTGGGTCCATTTGGTCTATAGTGCAGATTAAATCCAATGTTACTTTGTTGATTTTCTATTTGGAAGATCTGTCCAGTGCTGAAAGTGGGGTGTTGATGCCTCCAGCTATTGTTATATTGGGATCTCTCTCTCTAGCTGTAGTTCTAATGGCTCTGTATATCTTGGTGTACCAGTGTTGGTTGTACATATATTTATAATTGTTATATCCTCTTGTTGAATTGACTATTCAAATAGTCTATATATTTTATTTATTATATTTCTTAAATCTCATTTATTTTATAATTCCTTCCCACCCTTTTTTTTCCATGCCATTGATTTGTTGGGAAGACCAAGCGATTTATTCTATAGTATATTTCACATTCTGCGTTTGTCTCCTACATTATTCTTGGTTATAAAAATCTTCAGTTCAATTTTACTGTCATAGGGAGTTGGGTACTAATTTATCCTTTTATTTTTATTTATTTATTTTATAAAGACAGGATCTCGCTCTGTGACCCAGGCAGGAGCGAAGTGGCACTATTATGGCTCACTGTAACTGTAAACTCCTGGGTGCAAGTGACCCTCCTGTTCCATGTTATGATGCCCAGCTGATTTTTACATTTTTTTTGTGGAGGTGGTATCTCGCTATGTTTCCCAGGCTGGTCTCAAACTCCTGGCCTCAAGTGATCCTTCCACCTTAGCCTCCCAAAGTGCTGGGATTATAGGTATAAGCCATCATGCCTGGCTTTTCCTTCTGTTACGTAAGCCTCTTAACTAGCCATAATTATGAACAAAGCTTATAGTATTGTTAATGTGGAAAAAATAGGCATAAAGTATTGATTGATCTCAAGAAATTACGTGTTAGGGATTGTAGTACATTCCTAATGTTGGCCTTTCTTTTTTTTTTTTTTTTTTTTTGAGACGGAGTGTTTCACTCTTGTTGCCCAGGCTGGAGTGCAATGGCGCGATCTCGGCTCACCGCAACTTCTGCCTCCTGGGTTCAAGCAATTCTCCTGCCTCAACCTCCTGAGTAGCTGGGATTACAGGCACACGCCACCATGCCCAGCTAATTTTTTGTATTTTTAGTAGAGATGGGGTTTCACCATGTTGACCAGGATGGTCTCGATCTCTTGACCTCGTGATCCACCCGCCTCGGCCTCCCAAAGTGCTGGGATTACAGGCTTGAGCCACCGCGCCCGGCCCGGCCTTTCTTTTTTCTTTTTTTTAATGTGCCTTTTCTCCTACAAGATAAAAAATAATAAGAAGAAAAAAATATTGTCGGTTAAGGTTCTAATTTAATTTGACTCAGCTTTGTTTAAGTTTTCCCACCAGTATATGCATGAATACATTGCACTTATGTAGAATAGGATAGAGGCTGTTTAACCAGATTTGTGTGGTGCCAGGCACAGATAGATACTCATTGTCTTTTGATGAATTGTGTCATATTTTGAGGTTGTAAGCTTTTAGAAGTTAGGAGTCTATTTAATGTTCTTTATGTAGTAGCTTGAAAATGGTAAATAATGACTTGTAAATAATGTTTCCTTAAACACTTTTGACTAAATCGTATTAAAGTAACGTGAAATTAAGACCTAAATTTACAACTGTTGATGGTTATGTCTTCTTGTGAAATGTTTTGATAATTTGACATTTTAAATTTTGAAATGACAATAATAATGTGATTATATTTTTCTCCTTGTAAATCAATAGACGTCAAAATTTACAAGCTCTTCGGATATTCCAATAGAATTTATAAGAAGAAATGTTAAACTACGTGGACGATTACACCGAATAACTGAGAATGGTTTAGAAATTGAACATGTACCTATTACTTTACCTATTATAGCATCATTGAGAAGTAAGTAAGGTACAAGATTAATGAAACTAAGTAACTATTGTAGTATTCTTTTATTAGATGTTATTTATAAAATAGTAAAAAAAAAAAGTAATTTTAATTCCTAGTAACTCCATTGTCTATGAGAAAGTCTCAATTCTTGGCCTTATACATAAGGAGGTACTTAATTTGGCTGAGATTTTCTTTCTTCCTTTGCTCTTTTTTAAATTCAACCACTCAATCATTCATACAAACATTCAGTCATTCATTTCACAAATGTTAAGCACCTACTGTGGTCTAGGACCTACCTAAGCTAATTGTACAATGTTGGGTAAAACAAACAAAGCCCCTTTAACCCTTGAAGCTTACAGTCTAGGTAGAAGATAGACAACAAGCAAATGAAAAGTTGTCCTAAGAGCTATGAAGAAAAGGAGCAGGATACTAGGATAATTTTGGGGGGTCTTGGGGGTGGCAGTATGGAATCTATACATACAGAGTAGTCAGAAAAGGCCTCACTGAGGAATTGCTATTTAATCAGGGACCTGAAAAATTAAGAGGAGGCTAGCTAGGAAGAGCATAGGTGAGAAAGAGCCTGGTGCTTTTGATAGGACATACTGAAGACTCCTGTGTCTAAGGCTCAGGAAGGAAGGGTGTAAGACAGGGTATCCAATCTTTTGGCTGGGCCACGTTGGACGAAGAAAAATTTTCTTGGGCCACACATTAAATACACTAACAATAGCTGATGAGCAAAAAAAGGAAAAAAATTCTCATAATGCTTTAAGAAAGTTTACAGATTTGTGTTGGGACATATTCGAAGTCATCCTGGGCTGCATTTGGCATTTGGTAAGATATGCCAAAGGACATTGGAGAGATGGGCAGGAGCCAGCTCTTTTCTGCTGCAGTTCCCATTTCTTCTTGCTTTACATCAAAGCCCCAGTCACACAGACCCTCCTGATGCTTATATGCATTCTTATAACCCTGGACCTGACTCTTTGCTTGGTGTGTCTTGGCATCTGTTGAACATCATTTGATTATTTAGGATCCAGCTCAACTGTCAGCTCTTTTGTGAAGCTTCCTTAATTGCCAAGCTGAATTAGCCTCTTTCTTTGCCATACCCCACAAAAATTAATGATACACTGCAATTATGTTTGTATTTCCCTTTTTCTGTTATTATTATATATTTAGGTTTATATTTCTCACTGAACTATGAGCTCCTGATGGGCAAGGATTTTTTCCTTTTTATCTTTGTATTTGAAGTTCCTAGAAAATACTTACTGGCCAATAGAGACTTGGTAAAATTTGACAAATGGATTAATTTAGTTCTGTTTATGGCTCTTCTTAATATTCTGATTTCATGAAGAAAGGAATACTTGCTTTTTTAAAATCCCAAGATGAACAAATATCACGTTGTTCAATAAGATATAACTGTAAATGAACAAGATTGATTTTTTCTCCCAGACATACTTGATAAGATTAATTCTTTTAATAAACCAAAGAGAACTTAACAGTTTTAATGTGTGTTGCTCCCTAAAGAGAGCTGCCACTTCAGCTCTAGGCAGTATTTACACTAAACAAGTTCTTTAGGTTCTCAGTTGTTATAATAATTTAAATCTCTCCTATCTGATTGTAATGGCTTGTTAGACCTTAGCCAGCCAGATCATCACATGTGATTGTCCAGTCTATGCATTGCATGACTACAGGGGTGATATTTAATAGAAATCTGCCTCTTGAAATCATGCAATGCCACAGTGCTGTAATTGCCATATATGATTTTTATTATTAATGGGTCTCACAACAAATAATAATGTGTTTATGTAATTTGGTACATAGAATTTTAGAGCTTAAGGGAGCCTTAGAAGGCCTTAAATTCCCATTTTACTATTCTCCTCCACTTATTTTAATATTTTCTATGGAGATTAAATGCCATCTAGCTAATAATGATGAAATCAAAGCTAGAAAACAGATTTTCCATCACTCAGTTCAGAACTGCATGTTCTATAGACATAGAAGTTAAAGAAACAGATGGTAAATGTCTTATACCTCTCAACAGATATTAACCACTACAGATGTCATGATAGTGCTAATGCCTGTTTTATGACTGACGTAAACCGCTTATGTGAAAAGATCATTTTGCACTTCCAGACATGAAATCTATTTACCTGTAAAAAGGTTTTCGAGCTGTAAAGTTGCTACCCAAACCATTTTGAATGATATGTTAAGTTGCTAGAGCATAGTCTTCATTTTAAAATACTTAATTAGAAGCTCCTTATGTTCCTTTCACTATTACTATTTCTTGGCTTATATAACAAAAATAGATATTTATTCTATTTCTGAGGAAGGCTAAGACCCAGGTCCTAAAAACGGAGGTCATTCTTACCAAGAAAGTTTGGTTAGAATGACTTGACATAGTAGCAGAGGCTGCATGGTGTAGTAGAACACAGATTGGTGTGTGGAGCTGTGTTCTGTTTCTACTTTTGGTCTGTGGTTGTTCCTACCACCATCAAACAAGAGACTTATAAGATTTCCTTTTTTTTTTTTTTTTGAGATAGGATCTTGCTCTGTTGCCAGGCTGGAGTACAGTAGCATGATCTTGGGTCACTGCAACTGCCACCTCCCGGGTTCAAGCGATTCTCCTGCCTCAGCCTCTTGAGTAGTTGGGACTACAGGCTCATGCCACCAGTCCCAGCTAATTTTTTCATTTTTTTTTTCCCAGCTAATTTTCGTATTTTTAGTAGAGATGGGGTTTCACCATGTTGGCCAGCTTGGTCTCGAACTCTTGACCTTGTGATATGCCTGCCTCGGCCTCCCAAGTGCTGGGATTACAGGCGTGAACCACCATGCCCGGCCTGGAGAGTTATAAGATTTCTAAGACTCTTTCCTCATGATAATTCTGTGCCACCTGTCCCTTCTGCAGTCTTATTTTTGGTGTGTATGAGTGGGGAGGCATACACACACATATGCACAGAGCCTAAAAATTTTATAGAGTAAAACATTTAGAATAGTTCATTCTTTCAAATATTACTGAACACCTGTGCTATTGTTACAGTCTCAGTATAGCAGCAAACAAAGTGGGCACATGCCTGCAGTAGTCATAAAACCTGCAGTCTAGTGAGGAAATTATTCAAAGTTAATCTTATCCCTGATGGTAAAAAAAAAAAAAATTGGGACATAGGTGTAGATGATTCTGCTGTCATACAACTTCATGTGTCTCATGAAGTTGTCCATTGTCATAAATCCACTTACAGTATTTTATAGATCTAGAGTTGTTTATAAAAAAATCAGTTTTTGTTTCATGTCCTATTTCTCTAAAAACCTTAAAAATGTTTAGTCACAAAGTTTCCCACCCATCTCATGAGGCAGAAATATAACAGACTCCCTGGTTGGGGTTTGCTCCAGTGTTCATCTCATGTTTGTAGTTTTTCTAGATAAACATGATCTTTCCTTTGCTTAACATAGTCACTCTCTACTCCCTTCTGCTTCTCTATTTATTTGAAACATGTAAGTCTCACCTTATCTTTATTGATTGATTTTGAGCCTCAGTCTTGCTCTGTCACCCAGGCTGGAGTACAGTGGCGTGATCATGGCTCACTGCAACCTCCACCTTTCAGGCCGAAGCAGTCCTCTCGCCTCAGCCTCCTAAGCAGCTAGGACTATAGGAGTGCATCATCATGGCTACTAATGTTTAAGTTTATTTATTGTAGAAACAGAGTCTCACTGTATTGCCCAGCCCTTCTTAAACTTCTGGGTTCAAGCCATTGGCGTACCTCTACCCCTCAAAGTGCTGGGATTACAGGCTGGGCCACTGCACCTGGCCAAGTTCTACCTTTTTGACAGAGTACTCTTGGCCTACTCCATTGGAGCCTAAGTTGCTCTCCCCTCCTAACCAGCATCTACTCTGTCATCCATCTGTTTTGAATTGGGCTTTATTTACTTACTTATTTTTGATGCTTACATAAAAGATTTATTGAAGGGCTGAGAAGATAGAGGGATTCACATAAAACTAAAAAATTCATAGATTAGAAATCAAAGGCCAGTTGTAGTGGTACATGCCCATAATACTAGCACTTTGAGAGGCTGAAGCAGGAGGATCCCTTGAGCCCAAGAGTTTGAGACTAGCTCTGGCAACATTGTGAGACCACGTCTCTACAAAAAAATTTTAAAAATTAGCGATGCCTTGTACCTGTAATCCAGCACTTTGGGAGGCTGAAGCGGGTGGATCACTTGAGTCCAGGAGTTTGAGACTAGCCTGGGCTACATGGTGAAACTCTGTCTCTACAAAAAACACAAAGATTAGCTGGGTGTGGTGGCATGGGCCTATAGTCCCAGATATTTGGGAAGCTGAGGCAAAAGGATTGCTTGAGCCCAGGAAGCAGAGCCAAGATCATGCCACTGCACTCCAGCCTGGGTGACAGAGTAAGACCTGATTTTAAAAAACTGACAAATAAACAAATAAATTAGCTGGGCATGATGGTGTGTGCCTGTTGTCCTGGCTACACGGGAGGCTGAGGTGGAAGGATTGCTTAAGACTGGGAGATTGAGGCTACAGTGAGCTGTGATCATACCACTGCACTCCAGTCTGGGTGGTAGACCAAAACCATGTCTCAACACGCAGACACACACACACACACACACACACACACACACACGGAGGTTGAGGGTACAGTGAGCTGTGATCATGCCACTGCACTCCAGCCTGGGTGGCAGAGCAAAACCATGTCTCAACACGCACACACACGCACACACACACACACACACACACACACACATACACTGGGAGGTTGAGGCTACAGTGAGCTGTGATCATGCCACTGCACTGCAGCCTGGGTGGCAGATCAAAACCATGTCACACACACACACACACACACACACACATACACACACGCACACATGCATGCACACCACACACACTGGTTCACTCCTGTAATCCCAGCACTTTGGGAGGCTGAGGTGGGCAGATAACTTGAGGTCAGGAGTTCAAGACCAGCCTGGCAATATGACAAAACCCCCTTTCTACTAAATGTACAAAATTAACCGGGTGTGGTGGCAGGGGTGTGGTGGCATGTGCTTGTAATTCCAGCTACTCAGGAGGCTGAGGCAGCAGAATCACTTGAGGCAGAGATTGCAGTGAGCCAAGATTGCACTACTGCACTCCAGCCTGGATGACAAGAAAGAAACTTACATGTTAAAAAAATAAAAGTAACACTTGCTTTTTCAAAAAAGCAATTTGTTTCTGGAAGATTTATTTTTAAAATCTTACTGATTACATTGTATTTTACATATTCAATGGAAAATTTGCTAATTTAAAGGAAATACAATGACCTTTGTCAAGTAAAGAATTAGGACATTAATACGTTATTAGATTAATGGACCATCCACTTCAAGTTTTTGGTTCCCAAAGCTTTGGTCTCAAAGACTGGGATCGACACAGGATATTTTGGTTCTGCTTTACCAGCCAGAGACCTTCACAGCTGGCAATGCCCCTGTCTGGACCTTGCTTGGTCCTGGGCTTGCCTCAGGAGGTACCCTACCCACTCAGCCCCAGGAGCTGTACTCGGCTTGCACCCTGGTCCATATCCTGTGCTCATTTACACTCCTCATTCAGCGGGTCCCGATTCTTGTCCCACATGCAAGAAAAATGAGGTTAGCTCACCACTGGTGGGTGAGAAAGGCAAATTTTATTGAGTGACAGAACAGCTCTCAGCAGAGAGGGTACCTGACTTCGGCAGCTCCACCCGAAGTCGGTAGTCCCCTGCCTGAAGACATGCAGTCTTGATGTGTGGCTGAATTTGGGGCTTTTTAGGCTCAGAATGCGGGAGTGCATGCTGATTGGTTTGTGATTATGCAAAAAAGTCTAAAAAAAAAGAGCACCACTAAAAGATGGGCACGACAGTGCGAAAACCAATTAGGGAATGTAGGTATATGTAAAAGAGGTGAAGGGTGGGGATCAATCAGAGGAAAGAGTGCCAAACAAGAAGAGAGTTTCTCCATCCAGTCCAAGGATTTATCTGAGACCTGTAGCTTGGTTTTCAGATTTTAAACTGTCTTTGGTTTGAAGGTCAGGTTTCAGGCACCTGCCCCTTATTGGCCTGGGAGTTTGGCTGCCTCCTGCTGCTACCAGGATGTCTTATTGGAAGAGGATTGGTGGTGTTGGCAACATTAAAGGATTGGAGAAAGACCTCAGAGTTTTCAGGCTTTCTGTAACTCACTATGTACTAATGATTTGACATCATTTAATCTTTGTTGGATGTACAGCCTCAATCTAATTTGTGTATTTGCTTACTGAAATACAAAGTTTTTGCTAAAAGTATGATCATTCTACAAATACTTTTTTCATCGTCTTCTTTTTTTTTAGAGACAGAGTCTCACTCGATTGCCCAGGCTGGAGTGCAGTGGTGCGATCTTGGCTCACTGCAGCCTCTACCTCCCAGGTTCAAGTGATTTTCATGCCTCAGCCTCACAAGTAGCTGGGACTACAGGCGCACACCACCACAGCCAGCTAATTTTTGTATTTTTTTTTTTTTTTTTGAGGTGGAGTTTCGCTCTTGTTACCCAGGCTGGAGTGCAATGGCGCGATCTCGGCTCACCGCAACCTCCGCCTCCTGGGTTCAGGCAATTCTCCTGCCTCAGCCTCCTGAGTAGCTGGGATTACAGGCACGCGCCACCATGCCCAGCTAATTTTTTTGTATTTTTAGTAGAGACGGGGTTTCACCATGTTGACCAGGATGGTCTCGATCTCTCGACCTCGTGATCCACCCGCCTCGGCCTCCCAAAGTGCTGGGATTACAGGCTTGAGCCACCGCGCCCGGCTAATTTTTGTATCTTTGTTTGTTTGTTTGTTTTTTTGAGAGAGAGTTTCACTCTTGTTGCCAAGGCTGGAGTGCAATGGCACAATCTCAGCTCACTGCAGCCTCCACCTCCCAGGTTCAAGCAATTCTCCTGGTTTAGCCTCCCAAGTAGCTGGGATTACAGGCATGTGCCAGCATGCCTGATTAATTTTGTATTTTTAGTAGAAACAGGGTTTCACAATGTTGGTCAGGCTAGTCTCGAATTCCTAACCTAACCACCTTGGACTCCCGAAGCGCTGGGATTACAGTCATAAGCCATCACGCCTAGCTTTAATTTTTGTGTTTTTAGTAGAGATGGGGTTTCACCCTGTTGGCCAGACTGGTCTTGAACTCCTGACCTCAGGTAATCCACCCGCCTCAGCCTCCCAAGGTGCTGGGATTACATGTGTGAGCCACTGCACCCAGCCTTCTTGTTTATTTTGAGACAAGTTCTTGCTCTGGTGCCTAGGCTGGAGTGTAGTAGTGCAATCACTTATACTTGTTTTTTTTTTTTTTCAGATGAAGTCTCACTTAGTCACCCAGGCTGGAGTGCAGTGGTATGATCTTGGCTCACTGCAACTTCTGCCTCCTGGGTTCAAACGATTCTCCTGCCTCAGCCTCCCAAGTAGCTCGGACTTCAGGCACCCGCCACCACACGCATCTAATTTTTAAAATATCTTTATTTTTAGTAAAGATGGGGTTTCACCAGGTTGGCCAGGCTGATCTGGAACTCCTGACCTCAGGTGATCCACCTACCTCGGCCTCCCAAAGTGTTGGGATTACAGGTGTGAGCCACGGCACCTGGCCACTTAGACCTTTTGATGCTTCTCTGCTAAAATTCAAGGACAGCTTTTAAGAAGCCCATATCCTAAAGAAATTTTTATTTTTTAAAAATCAGGCCGGGCGCGGTGGCTCAAGCCTGTAATCCCAGCACTTTGGGAGGCCGAGGCGGGTGGATCACGAGGTCAAGAGATCAAGACCATCCTGGTCGACATGGTGAAACCCCGTCTCTACTAAAAACACAAAAAATTAGCTGGGCATGGTGGTGCGTGCCTGTAATTCCAGCTACTCAGGAGGCTGAGGCAGGAGAATTGCCTGAACCCAGGAGGCGGAGGTTGCGGTGAGCCGAGATCGTGCCATTGCACTCCAGCCTGGGTAACAAGAGTGAAACTCCGTCTCAAAAAAAAAAAATCAAATAATATAACAGTGTTCTAGAATATCTTCTTGAACTAAAGTATTATTTCTTTACTGAAGAATAGATGAATTTAACTTTATATTTTCAACCATTATGTAAGAGCTCAATGTATGTTAAATGTATAGTTTCTTTCTAAGACACTACTTTTTTTTTTTTTTTTGTCAGCTGTTATCCCTTTTTGGAACATTATAAACTTTTTCTTTTTTTTTTTTTTTTTTTGAGACGGAGTTTCGCTCTTGTTACCCAGGCTGGAGTGCAATGGCGCGATCTCGGCTCACCGCAACCTCCGCCTCCTGGGTTCAGGCAATTCTCCTGCCTCAGCCTCCTGAGTAGCTGGGATTACAGGCACACGCCACCATGCCCAGCTGATTTTTTGTATTTTTAGTAGAGACGGGGTTTCACCATGTTGACCAGGATGGTCTCGAACTCTTGACCTCGTGATCCACCCGCCTCGGCCTCCCAAAGTGCTGGGATTACAGGCTTGAGCCACCGCGCCCGGCACATTATAAACTTTTTCTAAAATAAAATCTTGTTATTAAAGTTAAATTGGTTAAAATTCTATCAAGTGTTTGAGTAAACAGGTCTTCTTCATATTATGCTACTTAGAATATAAATTGATAAAATCTTGTCTAAAAGTTAGTTTTGCATAATATATAAGCCTAACAGTATTGATGTAGATCAATATTTGTTGAGATGGGAAGAAATCTTTTAATAATTTAAATGAAAAACAGTTTCTGTGGTTATTTTGGTGGTAATAGCCCATATTATGAAACTGAATGTCTATAGCTTTATGTGTGTATGTATAAAAATAAACATGGGAGGTTGAAAAAAGAAGGTTAAATAGGTAAATAACACTTCCTGTTCTAAAGCTTAGTGAAATGATTTTTGAAGGCTGGGTGCAGCGACTCACCCCTGTAATCCCAGAATTTGGGGAGGCTGAGGTGGGTGGATCACCTGAGTCCAGGGGTTCAAGATCAGCCTGGCCAACATCACAAGACCCTGTCTCTACTAAAAATGCAAAAATTAGCTGGGCCTGGTGGCGCATGCCTGTAATCCCAGCTACTCAGGATCCTGAGGCAGGAGAATTGCTTAAATTTGGGAGACAGAGATTGCAGTGAGCCGAGATTGCTCCACTGTACTCCAGCCTGGGTGACAGAGTGAGACCCTGTCTCAAAAGAAAAAAAAAAGAGAGATGCGTTTTTGAAATTACTGTGTTACATATATTTGTATTGTTTTAAAAGAAAACTTGAATATAGAAATAAGTGGGTCTACATTTAGAGAGACTGGGTATTTATAAATAAATATAATATATTTGTTTTTTGGAGGCCAAATGACTTTGGAATTTGCTTTTGCAACTTACTGTTAAAGCTGAACTTTTTTCTACCTAACCTTTTTAGAGGAGCCACATGGTGCTTTGCTGGTTAAGTTGGCCGGAGTAGAACTCACTGAAACTGGGAAGGCATGGTTACAAAAAGAGCTAAAACCTTCCCAATTACTATGGTTCCAACTTCTTGGAAAGGAGAATTCAGCACTCTTTTGCTATCTTTTGGTGAATAAGGTAAGCAGTGTGAAGACATAACTAGCAATATCTTATTCTGTTATTTATATGTAAACACTTATTTCATTAGAACTTTGATATATAATGGGACTGAATTTTTTTTTGCCTTTTTAAACTGCTACTGAGAGCGATTATGCATAAAGAACCAGGTGTTTTATATACAAATTTCATTTTAGTTATATATGTAATATATGTTCATTAGAGAAAAAATAGAAAATTAAAAAAACTTCAAATTATTATTAATTATTATTATTTTTTGAAACAGAGTCTTGCTCTGTTAACCAGGCTGGAGTGCAGTACCATGATCTTGGCTCACTGCACCCTCTGCCTCCCAGATTTAAGTGATTCTCCTGCCCTAGTCTCCCGAGCAGCTGGGACTACAGGTGCATGCCACCATGCCTGGCTAATTTTTTTTTTTAATTTTTAAATTTTTAGTACAGATGAGGTTTTGTCATGTTGGCCAGGCTGGTCTCGAGCTCCTGACCTCAGGTGATCCGCCTACCTCAGCCTCCTAAAGTGCTGGTACTACAGACATGAGCCACTGTGCCTGGCCATAAACTTCAAATTATTAATGACTCTGAATGTTGCCAATTCAGAGAGTATCATATATGTTTATTTATGTATGGGTATATTAAACATGCTTGTTACTAGAAACCACTTGTTGAGTGAGACTTGTCAGCTGGAAACTACAAAGAGCAAGGGTATTTTCTAAGGGTTTGCTCAGTTTGGTCCAACATGTTGTTGATGGTTCTGTGTTAGTGTATAAATCTTTGAACTGTAAAGTTGAACATTGTTAAGTACTAGTTCTAATCAGTGGTGAGTCATCTAAAGATGTTCCCTCAGAGTTTTCTTACCTTTGTGATTGGCCATAGCCATTGTATAACTGGAAATGACAGTTTCATCTTTGTTGCTGAATCGCTGTCCTGAACCCCTGGATGTGCCTTACTCCAGATTTCTTTGGTGGGCCATCAGATAGGTTTTCATACCTTGATCACTTTTACGATATTCAGCTCTTAAAATTATACTTATGAGCTGGGTGCAGTCGCTTGTGCCTGTAATCCCAGCAGCTCAGGAGGCTGAGGTGGGAGGAATGCTTCAGCCTACATAATCAAGACTGCAGTGAGCTATGATCGCACTAGTGTACTGCAACCTGGGTGACAGAGTGAGACCAGTCATTTAAATAAAATAAGATGTGGCTCAAGCCTGTAATCCCAGCACTTTGGGAGGCCGAGGCGGGTGGATCACGAGGTCGAGAGATTGAGACCATCCTGGTCAACATGGTGAAACCCCGTCTCTACTAAAAACACAAAAAATTAGCTGGGCATGGTGGCTCGTGCCTGTAATCCCAGCTACTCAGGAGGCTGAGGCAGGAGAATTGCCTGAACCCAGGAGGCGGAGGTTGCGGTGAGCCGAGATCGCGCCATTGCACTCCAGCCTGGGTAACAAGAGCGAAACTCCGTCTCAAAAAAAAAAAAAATAAAAATAAATAAATAAATAAATAAATAAATAAAATAAGATGATTAGAAACTTAACTGTTTTAATTCTTAAAAGCATTTTGAATTATTAATAGAAATCTTAATGAAATTCATTAATTTCTGCTTGTCCAGATGATATTCAGTGCTTTCAAAATAAGAATTATCTAAAAACTAATTGATTGAAGTATATTATATTTTAAAAGTAAGTTTATTATTTTAATATATTTTATATTTTATATTTAAGTTTAATATATTTTATATTTTAAAAGTAAGTATATTATATTTTAAAAGTAAGTTAAGGCTGGCTCACGCCTATAATCCCAGCACTTTGGGAGGCCGAGGCAGGTGGATCACGAGGTCAAGAGATGGAGACCATCCTGATCAACAAGGTGAAACCCCGTCTCTACTAAAAATACAATATAGCTGGGCATGGTGGCACGTGCCTGTAGTCCTAGCTACTCTGGAGGCTGAGGTAGGAGAATTGCTTGAACTCAGGAGGCGGAGGTTGTGGTGAGCCGAAATTGTGCCATTGCACTCCAGCCTGGGTAACAAGAACGAAACTTCATCTCAAAGAAAAAAAAAAAAGTAAGTTAATATGGGAGGCTGAGGCAGGCGAATTGCTTGAACCCGGGAGGCAGAGTTTGCAGTGAGCTGAGATCGTGCCATATTGCACTTCAGGTTGGGCAACAAGAGCAATACTCTGTCTCGAAGAAAAAAAAAGAAAAAGTACTTAATAAAGGCTGGGCACAGTGGCTCATGCCTGTAATCCCAGCACTTTATGAGGCTGAGGCCGGCAGATCATTTGAGGTGAGGAGTTCGAGACCAGCCTGGCCAACTTGGGTAAACCCTGTCACTACTAAAAATACAAAAATTAGCTGGACATGGAGGTGGGCACCTGTAATCTCAGCTACTCAGGAGGCTGAGACAAGAGAATCACTTGCACCCTGGAGGCTGAGGTTGCAGTGAGCCGAGATCGTGCCACTGCACTCCAGCCTGGGTGACAGAGTGAGACCCTGCTTCAAAAAAAAAAAAAAAAAAAAAAAAACCAAAACAAAGTAAGTCAATACGAAGTTGTAGAAAACATCCCAAAGGCCTATAAAAATATCAGCTTTTAAGTTGAAGAGTATAATTACCAAAAAAGGAGATGATTATCATGATGATAAAGGTAGCAATTATGTGTATTTTGAGGGTCAACATGTGCCCACTGAGCTAAGGTGCCATGCTCTTATTAATGTCACTTATCTTCAGAACCACTTTACAGAGTTATTGCTTTTATTCCCACTTTCAGGTGGGACTTTTAGGGAAACTGATTGTCTTGGTCAGGGTAGCCAGGAAGAAGAGCCTGTATCCAAGTCCAACTTTTCCTGGCTCCTGAGCCTACATTTCATCTTATAAGCATATCTTTATTTTATCTTGCTTCCTAAACCACCAAACTATGCTATACATATAGAGTGATAATTTACTTCTCTGGTTTGAATTTTGCTAATGTGAGGTTGAATTTTAATTATTCTGAGTTTTGTTCAAGGGAATGAGCTTATAAGATTTGAAAGATTTAGAAAAATATAATTGCTTTATAACTGTTATTTGCTAAGTCCTTATCATGTACTAAAATTTTCTGAATTTGAAGGAACAAAGTCTTACAAAAAAAGATTAAAATCCCACAAGGGGGATTTAATCTTTAAAAGAACAAAAAGATTAAAATCCCACAAGGGGCCGGCCGTGGTGGCTCACGCCTGTAATCCAGGAACTTTAGAGGCCAAGGTGGGTGGATCACCTGAGGTCGGGAGTTCAAGACCAGCCTGACCAACATGGTGAAAGACTGTCTTAAAAAAAAAAAAAGGCCGGGCGCGGTGGCTCAAGCCTATGATCCCAGCACTTTGGGAGGCCGAGGCGGGTGGATCACGAGGTCAAGAGATCGAGACCATCCTGGTCAACATGGTGAAACCCCGTCTCTACTAAAAATACTAAAAATTAGCTGGGCATGGTGGCGTGTGCCTGTAATCCCAGCTATTCAGGAGGCTGATGTAGGAGAATCGCCTGAACCCAGGAGGTGGAGGTTGCGGTGAGCCGAGATCGCGCCATTGCACTCCAGCCTGGGTAACAAGAGCGAAACTCCGTCTCAAAAAAAAAAAAAAAAAAAAAAAAAAAAAAAAAAAAAAAATCCCACAAGGATTGAAGAAATATCTAGGCAAGATCTCCTTTATACAGTGAATTACTGGGGAAAAAAACATCCCATTTATCCAGTTTCATTAGGAAGTGAGGTATTCCATGAATGAAATTTCCTGTAGGATGAAGACTCAAGGGCCAAGACTATGTTAATTACTTTGAGGAAAGTCTTTTAAAAATGTATTTATGTGCCAGTGCTGTCCAAAACACTGGAATTCTGAACCCAATTTAACAGTTCAGTGATGATTCAGTTCATTTTGCATCTGGCTACTTTTAATTTCGTTTCTCTTCATCTCTTAGTTTCTTTTGCTGTGTTCTGCTGTCACTGTGGCTATCTTGTGTGTCCCACCTCCCCTCCACAGAACCAAGAACAGACCAAAAACATACTTTTTGTACTTTATTACTTCCTCACGTCTTCGGGTTAGGAGAACAGTGAGTCTGTGGAGAATTCCATGTTATAAAAGAGTCACCTGATTTTGAGCAAGAATGTCTTCTAGTAATAAAAATCCTTACATTTAGCAAGAGCTGTTTCTGGGGACCCTTAGGAACCATTTTTGCCTTTTCTTTGGAGGACTAAAATTGCCGAATGACTGATTTTTAAGGTACATAAGATGTGATGGGTATAACAACACTTATCTTAAATAATTGGTTTGTATTATTTTTAAATTCAAGGGTAGATATTTCAACGTGAATCTGAATGAAGAAATTTTGAGAAGAGGCCTTGGCAAAACTGTTCTTGTTAAAGGGCTTAAATGTGATTCTAAAATCTTTTGGACAATTCACAGAAACTTACTTAAAGCTGAATTAACAGCCGTAAAAAAAGGAGAAGGAATATGGAAGGAAGACTCTGAAAAACAAAGTTATCTGGAAAAATTCAAAGATTCCTGGAGAGAAATATGGAAAAGGGACAGTTTTTCAAAAACAACAGGATCAGATTTCAACTTGAAAAAAGAAGGGTATTATGACAAACTTAGAAGGACTTATGAAATATGGAAAGACAATATGAACAACTACTCCTTAATATTGAAGTTCAGAGAACTTATAAGTCGCATACACTTCCGTAGAAAGGCGTGAAATATTCAAGAGATCTAGAGGTAACCTTCTCCAAAGAGTAAAATATGTAAGTATATGGACATTTTTCATTGACTCAGAATGGAAGTTTTACCAGCTAATCAAAGTATTAGTCTAATGGTATTTAAATATTAAAAAGAGATGATTATTATAATGTCAGAATTAATTTAAACAAATTATAATTAATGTAATATGTTTTTAGGGAAAGTGAAACACTTTGTAAGAAGTTAGTAGGCTGAATGATTTATGTATGTAGTGCTAATGTGCGAAGAGAAAGTTTAATTCTTGACCACTGTGTTGTCTTTAGTTATTTTAGCAGCCATATTGAATTTTTTTTTTTTTTTAGATGGAGTTTTTGTTCTTGTTGCCCAGGCTGGAGTGCAGTGGTGCAATCTCTGCTCACTGCAACCTCCGCCTCCTGGGTTCAAGTGATTCTCCTGCCTCAGCCTCCCAAGTAGCTGGGATTATAGATATGTGCCACAATGCCTGGCTAATTTTTGTATTGCCATATTGAATTTTTGTTTAAAGAAGATATATGTTTATTTTTCCAGTTTTATTACCTTTCACTATTTATAATAAAGGAATTCTTTATGCTTTATGTCTAAAGTGGCGTTTTTTTCTTCTAACTGCTTTCTAATTACTTGTGAATTTGAGGGCAGCGCCTCTTAGACCATTCCTTGTAATAAAGAATGGCTAATTTCTACCTGATGTTAGATGAGGGGGCTAATCCAGAGGACAAAAACAATGTACTAGCTGGACAAAGTGGCTCACACCTGTAATCCCAGCACTTTGGGAGGCTGAGGCAGACAGATCACTTGAGGTCAGGAGTTTGAGATCAAGGACCAGCCTGGCCAATATAGTGAAACCCCGTCTCTACTAAAAATACAAAATTAGCCAGATGTGGTGGTTCACACCTGTAATCTCTTGGTGTGAGCTACTTGGGAGGCTAACGCAGGAGAATTGCTTGAACCTGGGAGGTGGAGGTTGCAGTGAGCTGAGATCATGCCACTGCACTCCAGCCTGGGTGACAGAGCGAGGCTTCATCTCAAAAACAAATAAACAAAACAAAGTATACTGAGGATGGCAGCACAGAGGATAGAAAAACAGATGCCTTATGACATTGTTGAGCCCTTGAAGTAGCCAGTGCTTGAACTGCCTTGCTTCCCTATTTCTTTTTGTGTGAGATAGCAATTTAAAACAAAATTTAAAGCCGATTTAAGTTGGTTCTAGGATTTGACACACACAAACTAGCTGATAAAATCATCTTGACAATGTGAGCTGCTTTCTCCAGGCCAGCAATAATCCATCCACAAAGTCTACACAAGTTTTTTTTAATGGTTTATGACACTGAGAAAAGTCAGCTTTATCTAGTCCTGTTAGATGTTGACTCTTGTTAGAATCGATAGTACAGAATGAGAAGTATACTGCTGCTGCTGCCTGACTCCTTCTTAGAACATAAGAAAATGGATTCTGCAACCTTTAGAAATTAAACATTCATTTTTAATGAGGTCCCAAATATTCCAAAGATTTTGTGTGTGAATGTGGTTTTATTTTATTACCTTTCTTTGGAATAGGATAGGAAGTCACATGCTGGCTTTTATTTCCTGGTTTCTATGCCTCAATAGCTTTTTGTTTTAAGGGGATGTTTTATTTTTATTTACAGGCAAGTTAACAGAGTATATTTAAACTAGTTTGTGGCAAGCTCTTGAGCCTTTTTCATCTCCAATTTGGCATTGTGAATTGCAGAATTTGGACCTAAGTCATTGTCTCCCAGTGATGTCAGATCTTATCATAGATATCACTTTAGTTAGTTCTGATGGGCTCTACCAGCTCAGCCAGCATGCCACTATTTTCCAGTTAAGCCATATGAAAGTGAGACTGATGTAGGTCATTCTGTGACCTGATCTCTTTTATTATTATTATTTTATTTTATTAATTTTTTTTTTTTTTTGAGACAGAGTTTTTTTGCTCTTGTTACCCAGGTTGGAGTGCAATGGTGCGATCTCGGCTCATCACAACCTCCGCTTCCTGGGTTCAGGCAATTCTCCTGCCTCAGCCTCCTGAGTAGCTGGGATTACAGGCACGCGCCACCATGCCCAGCTAATTTTTGTATTTTTAGTAGAGACGGGGTTTCACCATGTTGACCAGGATGGTCTCGATCTCCTGACCTCGTGATCCACCCGCCTCAGCCTCCCAAAGTGCTGGGATTACAAGCTTGAGCCACCGCACCCGGCTTATTAATTTTTTTTTAAAAGCCTACAGCACCCGGTAGTCCTAGACAGTCTCCCATCCAAGTACTAACCAGGCCCATCCCTGCTTAGCTTCTGAGATCTTATAGGACTGGGCCTGTGACCTGATCTGTCCTTTCCCTTGATGATGTAGTAGGGAACCCTGATTTTATGGACAAGGAGAGCAGTAATAAATTTAGGTCAAGGGGTCTCTTCTCATGTGCAGTCACCTTTACTGACTATTCTTGTTCTACACTTAGGTGATGGCAGTATTAACACCTACTTGAAGGTCATGTGGTCTCTGGGTGGAGAATTTCCATTGGCCAGCAGCTTTTTTTGGGCCAACATTCACTTTTCAGCTTTGTCTCTGGTCAGTATTGTAGACCAGCTTGTTGAATAACCCTGGGGCGAGCTGAACTGGGTAATTTGAGAAAAGCTAGATCTTTGTCACTGGGATGGTTATAACGGCCATCTGAAAAAGTAAAAAAGTTCCTATTAGGCTGGATATCTGATCAAAGCCCATGCTCTTTGCCTTTCTTACATAGAGGATTTACTACTTCTTGGTCTTGTTGGGGCTCAGAACATGACACCCCAAAATGTGGCACCTTGGCTTACTGAGCATTTTAAGTTGAAGGAAATTAAGAACACTGCAGGCCAGGCGCGGTGGCTCAAGCCTGTAATCCTAGCACTTTGGGAGGCCGAGGCGGGTGGGTCACGAGGTCAAGAGATCGAGACCATCCTGGTCAACATAGTGAAACCCCGTCTCTACTAAAAATACAAAAAATTAGCTGGGCGTGGTGGCACATGCCTGTAATCCCAGCTACTCAGGAGGCTGAGGCAGGAGAATTGCCTGAACCCAGGAGGCGGAGGTTGCGGTGAGCCGAGATCGTGCCATTGCACTCCAGCCTGGGTAACAAGAGCGAAACTCTGTCTCAAAAAAAAAAAAAAAAAAAAAAGAACACCGCAGAAGCAGTGTTGAAGCAGGCCATAAAAGAGTTCTCTGACCTGCCTCTCTTGAAAGTAGGTGTGAAGACCCTCATTTCAAAGGGAGCCTGCTCTATACCCAGAGACCAAGAAGTATCTGAACAAATAGACCTTATTCCCCCAAGTCTATTTGTTTGTTTATTTATGTATTTATGTACTTTTATTTTTGAGACAGAGTCTTTCTCTGCCACCCAGGATGGAGTGCAATGGCACAATCTTGGCTCACTGCAACCTCCACCTCCCCAGTTCAAGGGATTCTTCTGCCTCAGCCTCCTGAGTAGCTGGGATTACAGGCATGTGCCACCAAACCCAGCTAATTTTTGTATTTTTAGTAGAGATGTTTTGCCATGTTGGCCAGGCTGGTCTCAAACTCCTGACCTCAGGTGATCCAACTGCCTCAGCCTCCCAAAGTGCTGGGATTGCAAACAGGCGTGAGCCACCGTGCCTGGCTAGCTCCCCCAAGTTTAATACCATTAGGTCATACCCTTTGGTCCTCTGCATGATTGTCCATAAATATACATAGTATTTTTCTGTTTTTTTGAGTCTTCATTTCTGATGGCTCTTGTGTCATGTAAAATTTATATTAAATAAAATTTTATAGGTTTTCTCTTGTTAATCTGTCTTTTATGAGGGGTGTCAGTTGTGAACCCTGCAGTGGGTGAGGAAAAGATATTACAATTTTCCCCTACAATCTTGTCATTAGAACTACAGGGTCCGCCGGGCGCGGTGGCTCAAGCCTGTAATCCCAGCACTTTGGGAGGCCGAGGCGGGTGGATCACAAGGTCAAGGGATCGAGACCATCCTGGTCAACATGGTGAAACCCCGTCTCTACTAAAAATACAAAAAATTAGCTGGGCATGGTGGCGTGTGCCTGTAATCCCAGCTACTCAGGAGGCTGAGGCAGGAGAATTGCCTGAACCCAGGAGGCAGAGGTTGCGGTGAGCCGAGATCGCGCCATTGCACTCCAGCCTGGGTAACAAGAGCAAAAACTCCGTCTCAAAAAAAAAAAAAAAAAAAAAGAACTACAGGGTCCATGGCCACTTTATTTTCCTTTCGGCCTTCTTTTCTTTTGGTACCTTGGGTACCCAGAGTCTTTCACTTTTAAAATATATTTCTATCAAATGAATTTAGTTTTTTATTTCTAAAGGATTGGATTTTTTGGTCCTTTTCCGTCTCTTTTTGATTAATGTTTCCTTTTGCGGGAGTTTTCGTTTTCCATTTATGCTTTTTTAAAATTTGAGACAGAGTTTCACTCTGTCACCCAGGCTGGAATACAGGGGTGTGATCTCGGCTCACTGCAGCCTCAGCCTCCTGGTTTCAAGCGATTCTCTGGCCTCAACCTCCCCAGCAGCTGGGATTACAGACCACCATACCTGGCTAATTTTTGTATTTTTAGTAGAGATGGGGTTTCACCATGTTGACCAGGCTAGTTTTGAACTCCTGACCTCAGGCAATCTGCCTGCCTTTGCCTCCCAAAGTGCTGGGCGTGAGCCACTGTGCCAGAAACACGTATATTTTTACACTAAGTGATGGGCATGTCGGCTCTTCTCCAGGCACTCCCTCTCTCTTGCCTCACTCCTTAAATCATGCTTCTTTCTCCTTGTCTCAGGAAAATGAAGTGTTGGCAGGTCCATTAGCTTAGCCCTCAGTCTTGTAAAAAGGGAAGGAAAGTGCTAATGTCAAATCTCCTCCCCCATATGAAAGGGAAAGGGAAGGGATGGTTGCTGCTCATAGACTCTAACTTTTCAACTCCTCCTTACTCCCAGACCTCTTCTCATAGCTGGTACTTGTGAAACCTAAATCAGCTTGACTTTTCTCACCTGGGGAAACCTGGGGCTACTGCTGCCTAAATATTGTCTTCTTAAAACTTGGCTCATAGGAAAATTAGAGCCATGGATCTCAACAGTGATGCTCTTATGCCTGCTATATCTGGTAACTCCCAGAGTCTAGCAGAGACCCCAGTCAGTACCTCACACTAACTTAGTACACTAGCTAAACCTGCTTTTAGAGAATTAACTGCACTGGGCATGTGGCTCATGCCTGTAATCTCAGCACTTTGGGAGGCTGAGGCAGGCAGATCACTTAAGGTTAGGAGTTCGAGACTAGCCTGGACAACATGGTGAAACCCCA